CAGCCGACCCAACTAGCTCAGCAAATTAATACTGACACTCAAACGAATGCACAACGGCTTCCGCATCCAGCTATGCAGTTAACCCAACACAGGAATGGTGAAGCCCCGCAGGCCTTGACACACTTCAATGCGCCATTTGGACACTTGGGTCCTCATGTGAATCCAGATGTTACTCAGGCATTGGCCCAAATGAATTTGCAACCAACTCAAATGTCTACACACATTAATTATCCTGGTGTGAATTTGCAGCATATAAATCCAGACCCTGTTTCTGCTCAACCACGTTTAAATCTACCAGGAACATGTGTCCAACAAATAGGTGGTGATGTCTCACAGGCTATTCCTCGAGGTACTGTGCAAGGAGTTCAAGTATCTGAACCTACTACGTCCACATTACTTCAAGGTCCTGCAGCTATCAATCGCTTTGCTAACGCAAATGTTGTCTCACAACCTTCAAATATGCCTCTCCAACCGAATCCGGAGGTAACACAGGCTATTGCACAAATGAATTTAGATGCTGTGCAGCTGCGCCACTTGAATCCTGAGGCTACTCAAATTTCCCAACTTTTGGCTCCTACAAATCTTGACAGTGCGCAAGCTCTGCCGTTTATCAGTGAGGTTCCTCAGCCAATGCAACAAACGGATATTGAAGCATCGCAGGCTCTGCCTGCCTTGACACAGATTCCACCTAATGTAACCAACGAGACGTCGCAAGTGAATCCTTCTATGATGCCTCGAGTTAATGCTGAAAATGTGCTTCCTGCACCTCTTGTTGGTCAACGTGTACCGTCGCGCTTTAATTCTCAAACGTCTCGAGTGCAGCCGCAGGGTGCGCCACTTAATGCGTCACAGTTGCAGTCCCATATAAGTTGCCGAATCTCATCACGTAATTCGTCAGCAGTTTTGGGTTCTCAAATATCTCCTATAATTGGTCCACAGCTAGCAACTTCTGGTTCCAGTGTAGTATATTACGCTGTTCAGGCTATAAAATGTTTCGTTAAGGCAATCACTCTTGCAGAAGGTCCTTTTATTTTTCATTTTCTATTAGAGAAGTACACTTCATTTTTACTTTTCTTTTTCAAGGCACTTAAGACTCTACGTTATAAAAAAAGTCGTTTAATAGATGCAGTAATGGCATTCACCAGATTATCTTTTTATTGCGGCAGCTCCTTTCTTTTCCATCTTCACCACTTGGTCATTTTAAGGTTCTAAGCTAGAAGATACACTTCGCTTCCTCACTCTTTGGTTTAAACATGGAGATCATACTGAGGTTTTTGAACAGATACGCGAGTCACTGAAGTGTCTTCCCGTGGAAATGTGGCTAGAGGTAAAAACTGGGTTTGTTAGATGTTATCTGTCACACCATGATAACTGTCTAGTTCTTATTTCAAAGGCCTTGTCTTTTGCGATATTTAAAATTGTTTAGTGTAGTGCTTTTTCTTTTGTTCATTTTGTGTATTCACTATTCCTTTTTCTTTTTTTTTCTTAACACTTGATCGACTTTGTTTTTAGGTTACGCCGCAATTAATGGCTCGCTTAGACTCTGACCAGAACGTTGCACAGCTTATAAAACAAGTCGTCATTGACCTTTCAAAGGCACATCCGCAAGTAATAACCACATTTTTCTGTAGCGACGTTGCTAGTTTCATGACGTAAGAAATCTTTCTTATTTGCAGTCTTTAATCTATGCACTGACGGTGGGCGCAAATTCAGCAAACAAAAGGCGCTCTACTTTGGCAAAGGAGGTTTTAAAAATTATGAGCGACACTTGGCCTAAACTAGTTGAAGAAGCTCGACTAGTTAGTGAGGAACTGATTAGGTGTGCTATTCTTTGGCACGAATTATGGCATGAAGCTTTGGATGATGCTTCTCGCCTCTATTTCCAAGCGAGTTTTTCCGTGACTGTTGTTTTATTTTTTGCGAAAAGTACACTGTTTTGATTCTAGCAATCAAAGCTTTGTACTTTTGATATTAATTTATTCTTCAATTTGTTTTTAAGAGATGTCAGTCTATATTCTTCTTCTAGACTAGTTGCTGCAAAATGAGAATAAATTCTATCAAAGAAAAGTAGTTAGTTAGTAAACTAATTGCTACTATAATGCTTTTTTCAAGGAAAAGGATATTGCTGGTATGTTTGAACTGTTGGATCCGTTACATGCACAGTTGGAAAAAGGAGCCACAACTCTCAAAGAGCAGTCTTTCAAACAGGTTGGTTTGTACTGTTTTTTGATTGACAAATACTTACCTTATAAAAATATTTTTCTTATTCATAATGCAGCATTTTTAGACCTACGATAGTGATCTTAAAGAAGCTTGGAGCAATTGTCGGCGATATGTTCATTCGAAGAACTCCAAAGAGTTGAACCAGGCCTGGGAGCTTTACTACAACGTCTTTCGTAAAATTTCTGCTCAGCTTCGACAGCTTACTTCGCTGGACCTCAGTTATGTTTCACCGAAGTTAGTCTTGAATGCTAAGATTAAAAGTATGTGGAAGTGCATTCTCACAACTCGTTTTACAGGTTAATGAAAGCCCAGAATCTTGAATTAGCGGTACCTGGGACGTATGATCCAAATGGCCCGATTGTTAGAATTGCATCGGTTGGAAACCACTTGCAAGTAATTAGTTCTAAACAACGTCCTCGAAAAGTGATCATAAAAGGTCTATTTTTTATTTTTTTTGTCTCAGTATTATTTTGTAACTCATGTTTAATTTTGTTTCAACTTATACGTGGTTTTGGTTACTAATTTTGATCAAATTATTGGTTTTTTTACGGTGATAAAAGTCGTAATTTTTAGTGATTCTAATGAGGAGAGAGCGAGGTTTTCAACTTTCAGTACTTGAGAAGAAAGGGTAGAAGAAGTCTTATTTAGTTTCAGCTGGAAGACTTAATAGCATAAGCTAGTTCTGAACGATGGATACGATTGAATTTGGCAGATTAACAGCAAATTTGCAAACTTTTTAGCACTTAATTTTTTGGAAAAACATCTACTAGATTTACACTTATATTTTTGCTGAACTATTTTTTCTTAGTAAGGCCTTAGATTATCTCAAAATATCCAGTTTTTTTCAGAATTATAAAGGTATTAAGTATGTCCTCAAGTTCAAAAAGCTTAAAAGTTTGGATTAATAAAGTGAATTGCATTGCAAAAAGAGTGCTTACTTTGGACCTTATTATTTTTATATCTTATATTTTTTTGGGAGTCGTATGCTGGGGTAAAGGCATTTGATCATTACTAAAGGAAGTGCTTGGCTTCAAGACTAATAAGATGTTTAGGCTAATTTGAGAACAGATTATTGGAGATGTAGTTTCAGAGTTTGTAGAAAGTTCTCTTATGAAAAGAAGTCGTATTATTGGTAGCATTTCTTGTAGCTTAGAGGCAACTTGAGCAATCAGCTAAACGAAGAATTAAAGAGGTTGAGGGCAGTAGGACGCCTAATGGGAAGTTTTTCGTTTGAGTTTACCTAGTCAATTGGATGTATGTGAAGATTTTTGTTTGTTTGTTCGTTTGGCAAAAAAGTTTGATGAAGTTTTATAGTTAAAAATTGTTTTTAATATTGACAGTGTAGAAAAAAGTGAATTTTTGGCAAAATTAAGCTGAAGTAAGTAAAAAATTTTGGTATTATCTAAAATATTATGTAGAAGTGAACGTATGAAATGATTTAATAATTTTCAAAAACCAAGGTATTTAATTTTTACTCTTTATTTCCCCACAATTTGGGTTGTCGAAGTAGAAATGTCGTTCCTTGAAGAAAAGAAACGTTGAAAACAAACAGATTTCTAAACATTTAATGACTTTTTCTTGTTTAATTTCAGGAAGTGATGGTAAAGATTATGCGTTTTTGTTAAAAGGCCACGAAGACCCACGGCAGGACGAGCGAGTTATGCAGTTGTTTGGTTTAGTTAATACACTACTGCTGCACAGGGCTGATACTGCAAGGCAGAATTTAACCATTCAAGTAATATTTGTTCTGTATACTTTTTGGTTTTAAGGAACGTTTTTTTTTTTTAAAGAAAGCTTTACTGTTTCGGAAAACCACTTTGATTCAGCGATATTCTATTGTGGCCTTGAGTCAGAACAGCGGTTTGATAGGCTGGGTACCGAACTGTGATACGTTACACTCTCTTATTCGAGATTATAGAGAGAAAAGCAATATTCTTTTGTCTATGGAGCATAAATTGATGCAGACATTTGCAACGGATATTGATCAGCTTAATCTTTTACAGAAAGTGCAGGTAACTTTTACTTGGGAAGGCATTTAAAGTTATATTCTGTTTAGTAATTTAAAGTTTTTTTTTTTAAGTGTATCTGAATAACGTATTTAGCGACTGCTAAGTCATGTAGCGCTCTCATATTTAGGTGTTCGAACATGCTCTAGACCTTACTGATGGAAAAGATTTGCAGCATATTTTGTGGCTAAAGTCACCCAAGTATGTTTTTAATTATTCTTTTGAAGTTACCAGTGAATGAAAATTATTACGTGTGTTATTAAAAGTTTTATATGATTATATATCCTTATAATGCATTCATTATTTTTTAGCTCAGAGGTTTGGTTCGATAGGCGAACGAATTACACTCGATCAATGGCATGCATGTCGATGGTTGGTTATATTTTGGGCCTTGGTGACAGGTGCTGCTTCTATACTTTTTGAAATTCGGTTTTTAATTGCGAAACTTGCGTTCACTTAGGTGCTTCTCTCTTGTTTCATCTTTTAGGCATCCTTCAAATTTGATGTTAGATCGTGTGAGTGGAAAAATTGTACATATTGATTTTGGTGACTGTTTCGAAGTAGCTATGACGCGAGAGAAATTTCCGGAGAAAATTCCATTCCGTTTGACGCGCATGCTGGTTCAGGTTATACTTATTTACGTCTTTAATACTTTTAAGCCTCTCTTTCTGAACAGTACTAATACTAGTTTTTTATCTTTCTAGGCAATGGAAGTGACTGGGATCGAGGGAAATTATAGGATTACATGTGAACGTGTTTTGCATTTGCTCAGGGCTAACAAAGAAAGCTTGTTGGCTGTTCTTGAGGCTTTTGTTTATGACCCGTTGATTAACTGGAGGCTTCTGAACAGTAACATATTTATTAACTTATTTACTATTTTGTGCCTAAGCACCGCAGACTTGGAGCAATTTCCTAAATTATCTTTGAGATAAAGAAGAAGGCGAGATTAAAAGATTAGTTACTCTGAAAATTTTAAACTCTGCTTTTTGTTTTTCGATAAAGTTGTTTCTTCAAGTGAGATCTCAACCTTTAATGCCTAGCTTTTTCGTCTTCGTTGCAGATACTAGCGACATTAGAATAGAATTTCATAACTACTTACTTTTGCCTTATTCAGTTCATTTTCCAGCAGTTACTTGGAAATTTTTTATGTATTTAGCAGCAAAAGAGTTTAGAAGTTCCATTGAGGTAGGAAGAATATTACTCGGGCATTACGTTCTTCTTGCACCATCTCCATTCGCTCTCATTAAGTTTTTTCAGTATCTGCTCAACTAAACTTTACATAATCTATATTTCTATACTTCTTTATTTTGCATTACGCTCCGCTCTTTGACCAGGAACGAATATTTTGTTATTACCAGATCCCTTTTTGTAATCTCTGTATTCACTGCAGAACGAAGTGTGGACTGCAACTTCTAGACTAAAGAATTTTTTATGTATCAATTGCTTTGAGAGGAGGGTAAAAAAATGCGTTTAATTAAAAGGAGATTTTTTGCTACTGATCTGAGAAGTTTGTTCTTTTGCTACAAATTCGCCTTCATTTTCATTTGGCAGTTGTAGTATAAATATGCTCCTTTTTTGATAACTTATTTTGCCAGCATTTGGGGGATGGTACTTTAATTTTGAATTTAGCTGGAGGTGCTGGTGGAAATAAACGAGCTCCACCTGAGTCTCATCGCGGGGATAAGCAATCAGAGACGAAGGCAGAAGCGTCTTTGAAACGCATCCGTCACAAACTTTCTGGTATTTTTAAAGTTAAAAGTTTTAAAAAGCGCTACAAATGAAATGTGGAATGTAATTTTTTATACTTAATTCTTATACCAGGCAGCATCATTATACATTTCAATTTTAGGTCGGGATTTCCAACCAAACGTTGAATATTCAGTATCAGAACAAGTCAGTAGGTTGATTCATCAGGCAACTTTATCAGAAAATCTTTGTCAGTGCTTCATTGGATGGTGTCCATTTTGGTAGTTTTTAAACTTGCAGTCGCAAAAATTTAGTTTTTTATTTCATTGAATGTCTCGCTGTAAACAAGAGTTGTTGAGTTGGATATAGAAGTTCAGAATTTGTTATCAAGTCTTGTTCTTCACTTCTTTATAAGTTCTATTTTCATTAATTCAGAATTTAGCGTCCGTATTGTTATTTAATACCTTTTTCTTCCAAATATTGTGATTCTATAATTTGTCAAAAGAGTGCGTGCCATTATTCGTTTTGTACTTCATGCAATTGGCTTTTTCATTTCTTGCCTTCTTCACTTCACTTCTTCGTCTTTGATTGTTAAACTATAATTTTCTAGCTGTTTTATTTCTTATTTCTGGTAGCTAGGAAATCGAAGTTCGGAAAAAGCTACGGGCTAGCCAAGCGGATTTTTCATTAGAATTTTATTAAACGGTGTAGTTTTGTTAGGTCGTTTTAAATTTGAAAGACTCATACAGGAGTTTCAAAAGTAGTCCTATGTTTGTTCTTCTGTTACTATGAAAAGTATTAGTTCTAAGCGGTTTGGATTCAGACCAACTGTCATTTTAATACTTCGGATTTTTGACCTGTAGTTATATTTAGAAATGTGTGCTCCACTGCAAATGATGTTATGTGCCGCTGTCTCTCTGTTTCTGGTTTTTTATTGTTTTAAGTGAGGAAGACTAATTCTTCACCCTTATTTCAACTATTTCGAGCTAGATGTCAAAGAATTTGCGCTAAGCCTCTAAGTGTTTGCTTTAATTTTTGGAAGATAATTTATAGAATGTTTTCAAATTATCATTTCCCAGTGTAAGTACTGTCTCTCGTCCTCGTTAGCCACAGTCTGCCTTATTTTTATTTTTCTACCAAAAGAATTTCAATTGTTTTAGATTACTCTTCATTTTTTGCGACACTAAGTCACCATTAGTTGTTTCTTGGTCGCATTTTGAGGTATCTTCATGGAAAATCTTTCCACTTTGTATAGTTAATTCATCATTGGTCCTCACTGTCAGACGGTCTGAAAAATATCGAATACGTGTATCTTTCAAATGTGTTTAGAATTTAGTATTAGTACACAAGTATTTCTCAGTGCTGCTCGCACTCTCGTTGTATTCTGCCGTTAATAAATCAATTTTACCTGGTGGTTGATGGATCATTTGCATAGCGTTTTTAAGGGGAAAAGGCTTTGAAGTCATTATTGCGGTTAGGATAGCCAAGTATGAATAGCTGGTTGTTTATAAAGAAAGTAAGGCTGAATAAATTTTGTTTTCTCCTTTTAAGCTTGTATGTTTAAAGAAGCGAAAGCTCAGAGATTTCGTTTTGCGGGACTACACGATTCATCGTATATGCGAACAGTGATTGTGGAACGGGAGTGGCTTTAGCTAATGTGGAAGGGTTGTATGAATTTATTGCTGCCGATAAGAGCCTGGTTTTTTTTATTTCCTCGCTTGTTCCGTACATTGATGCTGTACTTCTTCGAAAATTTTTTGTACTGTGATGTATGTCTTAGTTTTTCTGGAATGCCTCTGTTTATTATGCGTAAAAACAGTGGATTCAGCGGTAACAATAGCAAGCTCTAATCATAATTATACACTGTTTCTTCCCACTTTGATGCACTTTTGATGATTCAAAATACCCAAAATTTAAATGCAAATAAAAGTTATATATGTTATATCTAAACATCTGACTCATTAACAAACTATTTTATTAAAATTATTAAATTTTCAACTTAGACTACAACTAAGCGTTAACGATAGTTAAAGCACCCAGTTTCCAAAGAATAAGTGTCAGAAAAGCAGAGGAAAAAAAAGAAGATTGAATTACATCTTTTATGTCTGTGAAACCTCTTTTTTTCTTTTTTTACAAAAGTTATTATACAAATGATAAAGTATGGCCAAAACTTTGGAAATAAACAATTCAACTTTGTAAGTCACGCTCGAGCTGGACAGTCTCACTGTTAGCGCACATGTTGTTCGCCATATTTTACAAAATCCGGAATGTACTTTCACGGCTACGTCAATTACAGCTTTAGAGGCTAGAATTCACAAGAGTAGCCAGTGCGCCTTTTTTTTTTTGTTCTTCTCACCATTTTTTCTAAGCAGCTTTTAGAAATATTTACCACTCTATAAAGAAATGGTTTTTTCATTTTTTTTTTTTACCTAGCGGAGGTATTGCTGCTAGAAGCGCACTGGTGAGAACAGAATATCTAATCACCTCTAAATCGAACTGACTCAGAACAATGAGGAGTTAACGCAAGTACGAAGCTCAGTGCAGCCAAGAAGCAAAAATGGCTTTGCTTGTAAATTGTAACGCTGTTTGACATGAAATACGTTTCTAATACCAATGATAAAGGTATTTGCTTTATTTTTCTGGCTTCTAATGGCTTTTTAACGGCTAGTATCTTGACCTCGTGATATCGCCAGCTTCTTACCTGTAAAATTTTGAAAATTTAGTATTCTTACAGTAAAAACAGTCTTTGGAACGCGTAAAGTTGATACCTTGACGCCTCTTTCTGGGACAGTTGAATAAGACTCCCAGTTCAGAAATTCTTTTAATTTTTTTATTGGTTAAAGGTTGGCCGCACTAATATTTATCATTGTGGTAGTTCCTTTAACAGAAAATACATTTTAATTTTTTTATTCTTTAGGAATATCAATGCCGCTATAAAGCTTTGCTTAATAAATTTTGGTAGTATGTTTCTATTTCCTTCACCTTTTGTTTCCGTGTTTTTTGAACTCAAAGGGTTTTACTGCTGCTATTCTTTAACTCTTGTCTGAACATTTTGCACTTTGGTATCATTATTTTCCTTTAAAACACTGTGAATTATTTTGTCTGTTTATGTTATATCTGAAAAGGCAGTCATTTGCCTGAAGTGGATCAAACTTCAGGTTCGACAAACTGTGGTACATCTGATTAAATCTCATCTACGGCGCTGTTGCTGCGGTTTCCAACAATCATACCATTTATACGTTCCAAAAAAGTTGATCAACGCCTATGCCTATAGCAGCGAAAATGAAAACTATTTCGGTAATTGCATTTCTGTTTACTGAGGTATTTGTTCGTCAGAAAAATATCGATTTTACAAATTTGCTGTAATTTTAACTGATTACACCAATTAGAGTAATTCAGTGACTTCTTTATTTATTACTAAACTGTAATTCAGAATCACAAAGCATTGCGCACATGACAAATTAATTTTTTTACCGAAAATTTTTGTGTACAAAGTAATTCAGTTACCTTCTGTTTTTTAACAAAACTTCTCTAAATTTCAGAACAAGTTTAACAGTAAACTTTTAAATTTTTACACAACTTGAAGAAAACAGTATAATATTAATTTTTTGCAAATTTTGAAAAAAATTTAAATTGTTTTTATCTTGTTGAAAGGTTGCGATTATTCATTTGCAATGATGCATTGTGTCTATTTTTGTGTCTTCCAATTCAGAACGTTGTCAGGAAAACACTAACTTTTAAATTGTCAACTGGAAATCTGTCCTACAAGCAGGGAATTCCTGATTTCTCGCCGTTCAACAAAAGTGCTGTTTTGAGTGAGCGTTAACAGGCAAGACCTATTTGATTATATCACGCGAAAGCATCACCTAAATAATAAATATCTATGAATTTTCCTGAACTTTTTGCTAATGCTGCATTAACTGTAAAATAGGACAACCATAAATCAAATAATTTTTCACATAGTTCAAATTTTTTCCAAACAGAAAAAGTATGGAGTGTATAGTAATTTCATCTAACAATGATGTTTGATTTTTTAAGACGTAAAGGAAGTATTGAAAACATGCAGTCGTTACTTTAGGAATGCTTTTAAAAACTAAAATCAACCAAATTTATTTACTGTTTTTCAAAGTTAAACATTTTCTCAAGGTCAGTAATAACTACTTTTTGAAGCGCTTTCTTTTTTAAACACTAATACGACAGCAGCTGAAATAAAATTGCGGACTACTAAGAATTATCCTGATTTCGGTCGGTACAGTTGAAAAACTACGCTTAAAAAAAGAGCATTTTGTTTTATCTTCTGCTCAATTCGCGAAACCAATGAATTTTTGGTGAAAAAAAAATGATATGAAAAAGTTATCAGCAGAATAGCAATTAAGAAGGAACTTTTTACAGTCATTCACTTTTGTACATTGACGATTTTCACTTTAGCGCAATCTTTCAAAGCGACTTATGGTAATTATAAAAATTATTTATAGCAGAAAATGAAACAAATAATATTTTTTGAAAAAAATTTTTGTTTTGACGGCAGTGATTGCAGCTTTTAATCAGTAAATCTTACAGTGCTAAAATTTGCTCAAACCAACAACTGACATTTAATTGGGTATCGTTACTCCCGAATGAGTAACCCATAAGCAGTTTGTTCAGTCCTTTGTAAATTTGACTTACCAACGCTATTCGTTTAGACAATAACACCATGCAGCAGTAATACGTATTTATGTTACATAGATGACAAAGCAGTAGAAAAATAAAAAAAAATAACAACTACTTCTTCATTTTTTTTTTCAGTACCATAATTGTTTGCACCTTTTTTAAGTAGTTATAAGCGTCATTGTAGCACTTTTTTGTGGTGAGTGAAGGGAAAGGGAAGAAAGAAAGAGAAGAGAACAAAAAATTTGTTATCATAAACCTCTATTTTTACGAAATCGATTAAACAATGTGTAAGACTGGCTGTTCGTGGTAATTACGACGTTTCGTAGACTTGGTAAACTGCTGTAGAAAACTGTTTTTAATAGTAGGACTCGCACATTTTCAAGCCATCTTTGATGTTTCGAAGAGCACGTTCCGAAGTATCAAAATGGGAGTTTCTCGACAGTGCTGCAAGTGGCTAACAGTTATGCGAAAAACACTTTAAATATAGATTAATTGACAAATATCGCTTACAAATATACATAGACATTTCTCTTTTATGAGTCTCTTAACAAATTAAACTTTATCAGCTAAGTTAAAGCGAGATAATTTACCATTTTGAGCAGCAGCTACCGCATTTAAGCATTTGTTACGAATGGATATGTCGCGCTTGTCTGGATATTCTGCTAATATTGCTGTTAACTTTTCCAAGACCTTTAAAACGCTGGGATCATCAGGAGGCAAAGCATTTCTGCTTTTTCCCAGCAGTTCTGCATATCGTCTTTTAGCTATTGAATAATGATTTTTCTTCTCTGTCATGTCTGAAACTAAATAAATTTTTCAGATGTTCTCATCAGTTTCAAAACAAGTTCACAAGTGATCTTACAAAAATTTCTGCATTTTAAGTATTCACTAGTGTTCATTTAGAAATAAAACTGTACTCTCAGTTGACAGACTTTTCAAAAATTTTTCATTACCTGAGCAGACTTTTGCTGCATACCAAAACGAATCTGCCTGCATGATCAGGAATGCAAGAATTGTGTACGGGTTGTCAACTAATCGAATGTTATTCAATAGATTCTACAAGAACAGAAGACGGTAAATAAAAGAAGCAAATAAAGTGCGAACTATGTGACTGATAGACTTGTATAAACTGGGATTTGCCTGGTAATTGATGTAATCTTCATAAAGTTCACGTTCGATTTGCTTAATGACCATATCAGTTTTAAACTTCTCATTGGAGTCTGGAATAAGCACAAGACTTTGCTCCTGTAAACGACACAGTTGTTTCTCCCGTTGTGCGACAAGACGACAATGCGCGTTTTTCAACAAGTATAATTCTGGCCAATCTGCAATGGTTGTATCAACGGATCTGAGAAAAAAAAGTGAAATATATACAATTAAAAATTATTTTTAAAGTGTTTTTGTGCAGAAGTGTTAAGCTTTTATCTAAGAAGAAAGCACGCTTTATGCCTTTTTTACAATATTTATATTCTAGATTGGCTATAAAAGATATTAAAAGTTTGTGCAAAATTACCAAGTGGCAAATTTTTAAAAACTTTCTGATGAACTATCAGCAACAGATCTGCATCAGTTCCCGTGTCATAAGCAAATCGTTGTCTGAGCTGTTCGTTGACATTCTTTTTAGTAGTCGAGTATTCACAGTTATCTCTGCCTTGCGTTTTTAAAAGCCACTCTTGACCAGTTTCTGAAAACTTCGTTTGAATGACTGGAGAACTAGGAGAACTGAAATAGAGTGCCTAAACCGGAAAACCTTATAATGCTTTATTTCTGCTTGAAAGCTTCAAATTTTGTTGAAATTATTGCTTAGCAAATGAATTTCTTTTGTTGAGTCCTGTTATAGCCGAGTAAGTTACGAAGTTCCGAAGACTCGACGTGTCGAAGTGTTGTTATTTAAATTGCCTGTATTAGTTAGACTTTCTTTACTATGAAGTATTCCCATATTTAATTTGTGGTTTCAAGTTCTGTTTTCGCAATTAGGTCTCAACAGCCTTGAACTTTTTTGCTAAATGTTACCGGTCTCTGGAATCGACAGCACAAAGGCGCAATTGAGCCTGTGTCGTTCGCAACAGTGATCAATTTCTTAATTTATACAAAGAAAACGCTTTAAAGTTCTCAGCTCTGTGTTTGTCTAGTTTCTTAAAATGATCTATGTTAGTAACAGATAGTCGCTAACAGCTGATTTTTATAGCCTATCCAAGTCGTACTAATTACAGTCCAAGAGATAAATAACACAGTGATGCTTAGATTATGAAGGAGTAGTGTGAAGTTCATCTTGGACTCTCAGACACATTTATTGTGAATTTTATTTGCATTTTATTAAGTGTAGAAAAATAACGTACGATTATTGTCTCTTCTTCTTAGGTTGCAACTACCTTGCGTATCGAAATCTGGTTCTTCAGGCACTATGGTTAGAAGCTGTTTGAAATCAACATCTGCAGACTGAAAAATTGAATTTTAAATATGTACTTACTGCACTACTCGAGCTATAAACAGTTAAATGTAATAAAATTTTTCAACAAAATAATGCGGTATTCCGATACGTATTCCGATCTAAGGCAGTAGTAATCTTATACTTAGTCTCTAAATAAGCTCTTGATTATACCTTAATTCCATTACTGATATTCGCCGTAATCTGAGTAAACTGCTGTAACGGTACAGTTTTTTCTTCAATCTTTTTCACTTTTAGGGAATTCGAATTACCAAAATAGTTCCGTACAAATTGCTGAATATGTCGTGCATTTTCTGCATTTGACTAAACTGCGATAATATAATGAAAAAAAGATCAACATTAATTTGGTGATACTAAATTTAGTAAGCTTTTAAATTGCTAAAAGTTTACTTTAGATATCTTTTCAAGGTTTGACACGTCGAGATTCTTCTCAAACAGGCTTACTAAGCTTGAGACAGAAAGATTCCTGCTAGTGTTTGGGTCAAATTTGAATATTTGAGTAGTTGAAGGCTCAGTCATTTGACTTGAACTGGCATATCTGTACAGATTTTCTTCTTTTTCCAGAGAGGTTGCAGTTCCGTTTATCCCATACTTTTTAACTTTATCCTTGTCTGTTCCATCAGTAAAGTTTTCTTCATTCGTTGATGATTGTAGCAGACTTTGTTGTTGGGTAGATGAGTTTGAAACAACAGTATTTTTTGAGTTTTGTCCAACTTCGTTATGGATTGTTCTGGGAAAAAACGTGGGAGATGAATCTTCTACTTTTCTATTTCTTTCATTCCTAAGATCAGTTTCTGTGCTTTTTTTCCGAATCGTACTGTTCTCAGGCAAAAATGTAACTATTTCCTCTGGATAAGCGTAGATGTAACGCATTCTTCGACTTTCGTTAATGTTACTTGAAGGATGCTGCGGAGTATTGGATGATGTTGGCGGTGGAGGAGGAGGTGGCGGAGGAGGAACAGAAGCCAGTGGTTGCGGGGTTGTGGAATGCGCTTCTGCTGCGATTGTTGTATTTGAACCACTGGTTAAAATTCGTTGATTGACCGAATAGGACTGAGGTGCATTATAGTCGTCTGAGAATTCATGAGCTTTTTTCAGGTGCTGGAACGACTTTTCAGCAGTTTCGTTTATCGAGGTATAATTTCTCTGCATACACTGGTATCTGTCACCTTCATACTCAACCAGGTGCTCAACAGGTTCTTGTGGAGCTATCTCTGGGAATTCATTTGGTAAGCTTCTCGTACTGCTTTTAATTTTCTCACTGAAAAGTTAAAAAATTTAGAAATTAATAGAGTCACGTACTATGGAAATGAAGAGATTATAAGCTTGACATATAAATGTTTAACAACTAACCTTGCCGCAACAGTTTTTGCTGTATAAGGACATAATGGTGGAGACCTGTGCGCATTTGTCATAGGCAAATCTAAATCTGAAAATTGGCGGAAAATGTTTTGATATGTACGGCCCCATGTATTTTTGTTCTCTATTTCTCCAAACGTTGTCATAATACCTAAAGTTTGTGTACATTTTTTATGCCATGTTACGGTTTACTGTCCAAAGAGGTTAGCAATAAGTGTTTTTGTATTAAATTGCTAAAGTAGGTTACTGGCAAATTTTTCAATTTTATTTTCCGGAGATGATGAAAATTTTGACAAACTGCATATGTATATTGTACAGTAAATTTCAGTACTGCACTGAATAAGAAACTTACAGTCCATAGTAGGTTTTGCTGATATTTGTTTGTTTATTTTACGCGATTAAACTTCCATTAAAATATAAATTTTTATAAGCTGCAAGTTATCACTAAAATTGTACAACAGATTCAAGAAAAAATTTTTAAACTTGTTAATTTTGATATAAATTTTCATTTTATCACATTTTAAAACATTATAAAAGCATTAAGATTTCAGAAACTGCCTGGCTGAACATAGTTACGGGAACTTGTCTTAAAAAGTATAGTGGGAATGCTTTTGCATGTTTTATATAGGAACTTGTGTGATAAAACGAAAAGTTTTGTTAAAATTAACAAAAAAATTTTAGCTGCATTACAATTAAAGTTTATCAACTGTTTTCGGCTAGTCAGTCAAAACGGAAAACGTGTTTTATCCGCTTAACTACTTTTTTACTCAAGTTTTTTTTTCTGCAGCAACAAAATCTCTTATTAATTTATTGACATAAAAAATGATGAAATATTTGGCATCATATTTATACGTGAAGGCAGTAAATCAAATTGGAAAATTTGACATTGCAAAATTAAAGTATAATAAATATATAAAAAATATTAAACCAAAGCATATACAAACGATATAGTGATCCAATGAAACGCAGTCAAATAACTTTTATTACAGGATTCTTGTAAAATTCATGTTAAACTATTGATTTAGAATTGTGTGTGAAAAAGATGGACTGAAAACAGCGAAGAAACGTCAAAGCAGCAAGTTAGGATTTGTCAAAAACGACAAAGGTTTGATCAACCTTTTGAACTGATAAAATACCGATAACATTTCACTCGTCAGTATTTGTTGGAAAAATAAGTGCTATGAAAGCAAAGAAATAGATTTAAAAAGTATTAAAATACGGGAAAGAAAAATTTTGATGGCATAGTTATTCTTTTTTGTTTTTTTTTTCTTTTTTTCGGAATATTGTTGACTTTTCTTCTGTACATATCACCTAGACTGTTTGATGGTAACGCTTCTTTTCTCAAACATATCTTTAGCAAACAATAATTTCTTTTGGCTCTAAAAATATGATTTTTATGCCAAAGTACTGTTTATTTGTTGCTGAAAATTTGTTTCAACCAGCATTCTTTCATACGTCTCATCTTGGCTACTCATTGTTGTTTGACGACGGAAAAGCATTAAATTTTAAGCTAATTTTTTACTTGTTGGTAAATAAACAAACACTGACGGAAGAAAATTTGTCATAGTCATAACGTCGAACATAGAAAAGGTGTTAGTTGGCACTTAGTTGATCGCATTATTTGTTGAAATGTTGTATTATTAGGATAAAAAAAATTTAGAAGTAAAATTTAAAAAGAATTGCTTTCTGAAAAACCACTTTTTTTTGCTTAAATATAATGAATTAGTTTACAGATGGCATTGGTGGTGCTCTGTTAGATGCATAGATAACAGCCAAGTTTTATGCAAATATAGCATATTTGATTATAGAACGTTAGAACATTGAAAAAAAAGTTTACAGGAATATAGACGCG